AGTCGAAATTCGGAATTATTTTCATTGAGCAGGAGGCCAGCGTGCCACGTGAAAGGAAAAGCAGAGACAGATTTCCTTTCAGAGAGGAATATTTCAATCTGCGATGCAGTAGCCCATGTATGATAGCAAAAGTTTTGTAGAGCTGTGGATACAGCGATATTACAAACGAAAGACGTTCTGTTTTTGCGAATGGCTCAAGGTAATCGTCTCAGCAAATCAGCATGTCATTGAACAGTCGCCTTTCAAAATAGAACAACTAATAATACGAGGAAGATGATAATACAGTGTAGAACTGAAGTAAAATGGAGCATTGCACTGTTTACAGCATAGTTGCAGATACTGGCTGAAATATAAGACGCTGCAGTATTTGATCAGCGTCACACTAAGGAGAAATGGCACCCCACCGTAAAGTGTAAACAAACCGACATTGCAAAGGTTCTGTTTGTTCTATATTCATTTAGGAAATACTTATCATCAGGCTGCTTTTAACCGGAACCTTTCATTTTACTCACTGTTACTCAACGGTGTCCTACTTCACCCTTCATCCATGGCTTTGTTTGGTTATTATATGGTTCTGCCTGCTAGTGAAATGGCTTTTCACATATTTTAATCATATTCCCATGTTTGCATACGTCGAGTGTAAATTTTTTCAAATAGTGGTTCTCTCGATTTCAGACAATTTCAAATCAAAACACAGTTTCAGATGCCGCTTGTGGATTTGACCTGTTAAGTTGCGAGGTAGCAGCATTCGATAATGTCGTTAATATGCGTAGGATCTTGTGCCACTACCAAAGCATCGACAGGAAACTTCCCTTATGTGGAACCGAGTTCAGCAGCGCACTTGCTTCAGTGTTTCTACTCTTTCGTCTGAATCGTCTGCCTGTTGATCCGTGGAAGAACAGCTGCTACCATCCTGTGACATTTGCGTAGGATACTCAGAACATCGTATTGGCGACCTCTCATTCCTTAAACAGCTTTTCTTAGTAAACCAAGAATATTTTGATTATTTTTCTTTGTATATCTAACATCTATGGATCAAAGTATATTGAGGAAGATCGCTGATTTTCGAATATATGTTTATTTGACGCAGCACGTGTTACTGTTTTGCAGCATATTCATACACTGTAGGTAGTATTATACAACGGTGTCGCAGCGTGCTTAAATAGTTTTTTAGGCCATAAAAACTATGGTACGATATGATTACGTCGAGCGGATCCGCAAAGATGACTTGTGCAAGAATTGAAACACGAATGCGTACTTCCTTCTTATTAACGATTTGATACGGATGATTTCAGACGGGCTTCAAAATCTTGTACCTAAATTACCAAACCGTATTATGAATGGGTTTATCATAGTAAACTGAATTTTCTACAGCTGTTTCCACATGCTTGCTCATGATTCCTCATGTGATTAATGCATGGAATAAGTCAGATGTTGTTTTTCCATTGTGTTTAAACAATTTTTTTAACTCATAAAGAAGCCGTTGTCACCATTATATGCAATTGAACAAACTTATTCTGATTTAGGGGTAGATACGACAAAACGGATGTGTTAGATTTCCATAAAAGCTTCGTATCATCAGTCGTCATCGTGCGTCCAAGTTTAACCTATCCCAAAGGATTGATTATATCTGGAAGTTATGACAATACGGCCCGCATCTACAGTTTTGATAACTTGGGTGAATGCAGATTCGTTTTGGGCCATGATGATGTCGGTAAGTTGAGCTTCGTTGTTTTTTGTTTATTAATGTGATTAACGATATATTTCAGTAAGCACGGTACAATTCGATGAAAAGAGGATGATAGTGGTGACAGGCTGTTTGAATGGAATCATGAAGACCTGGCGCGAAAACGACTGTTTGACCACGGTGGAAGCTCACAGTAGTCCTATATGGGCGGTGGCTGTCGTACCGGATTCTCTCTCCGAAAGTCCCCCTGCTGATCTGCCGCGGTTGCTGACCGCCTCTGCGGACAAAACAATTCGCCTATGGGAACACTGCATGCTCAGTAAAACTTTCACAGGTAAATACTCGTAATTACGTTCTTGTATCTACCATCAGCTGGAGATAAACCTGCAAATAAGTTTTGTAGAATCGATTTTTATGATATTTCAGACGTTATTTTAGAATAGTTTCTGCTCTCCAGCAATTTTTTGGCTTTTCTGGATTACTGGGTGACCTAAAGAAAGGCAAAATGAGTCAGACTCTCAGACTCTTGGCCTTTGTTTCATGGTCCTTTAGGGTAAATCTGGAAACCGCTGGTTAGTGATAATCACTTCTGTGACGTTGTTTTGCTAATCAGAGTTTATCTGATGCCCACGCTTCGTAGCAGAAGTTCACATTCTTGCTTTAGCCGTACTCTCAGCCCGTTTTTTTAAATAATTGCCATTTTCCCGTTTCTAGGTCATACGGACTGTGTTCGAGGACTCCAGGTGTTAAGTGAAAATACGTTTCTTTCATGTTCCAATGATCATAGTGTCAGACAGTGGAACTTGTTAAACGGCGAATGTCTTATGAACTATACGGGACATACACATTTTGTTTACAGGTAACGACTATTTTCTTTGTGACCAGTTAATTTGTCCCTAAACCGTTGAGCGTCTTAAGCGTGTGTTCATCATCGGATGGCTCATGGTTTGCAAGTGCCAGCGAAGATCACACGGTTCGCGTGTGGAACATCGACGACTCGACAGAAAAGCAGGTGATCAAGTTGCCTTGTCAAACTATATGGTGCGTTTTGGTTCTTGACAATGGAGACATCGCATGTGGGAGCAGGTGTGATTTTCTTCTTTTTCCTTTGTAAAATAAGTTTCAAAACGTATCTCTTGACAGTTTATGTATGTAAAATTTATTGTTGCTGTAAACTGTGCCCCAGAACTTTCGCTTTAGCATGACTTGTTTTAGCAGTTCAGTTTTCTGTTGAACAGTGAGTGCAGGCACATTATTTTTAATCTATTAATTTCAGTGACGGTATGATTCGAATTTTTACCAGAAATAATGAACGATTGGCTTCAAAGGAAGCAATCGAACAATTCAACCAACACCTCAACCATTTTGAACAGTCCACTGGTAAGAAGGGAGCCATCGATTGGGATCAGCTTCACCTTCCCGGTCCTGAAGCGCTAAACAGAATAGGCACTAAAGACGCCGAGCTCATGTTGATCAGAGTTAATGACAAGACGGAGCTTTACCAGTGGTCTGAGTCTGGTCAAGAATGGTCGAAGGCAGGTGAAGCTGTAGAATCTTTGGATATGAAATCTGCCTTTCAGAAGACAGTAGACAACAAGGTGTGATGGATATTATAGGACGTTTCATTACTTATTGCTATTGCTGCTTTGTGCAGGCCTACGATTATGTATTCGATATTGATGTCGAAGATGGCAAGGAACCGTTAAAGCTGCCTTTCAACAAAACAGACGATCCATGGCTAGCCGCCCAACAGTTTATTTCTCGCCACTCTCTGCCGCAGTATTTTCTGCAAGAAGTTGCGCAGTTCATAATCGATAATGTTCCTGACCTGTCGTTGCAGAAGCCGGCTGCCGGCTGTTTGGATCCATTTACAGGTACCTTTCTGTTTCTTGTTTTGAGTTACCATCATTGTAAAGTTTTTTCTTATTGACTGTTTGTACTACCCTTTGTTTATGCTACAAATGAACGCCCTATCAAGGATTGGGGGAGATACGGTACTCTCATTGAGTGACGGGATATTCCCAGTAAAGTAGGCGTATGCAGTTCTTCAGTCTGGATCATTTCAGTGATGATCTTTAAGAAACGCTGTGGTCTATTACCAAAGTTCTGATGGAATCAACTGCAG